GGGCAAAATTTATGAAGCAGAGGTAAGCTTATGGCTTACATACAGTGCTGTATGTACATGGCCATGTGGGACACCCAAGTTGGGTCCAATATCAAGCTAACATGGGTTGGGAATCCTGCAATAGCAACACACTCAGACCAGTGGAATAGGAATCCCATATTTCTAAATAATGAAATCTGACTGATCCTTTAAGGAGTGGTGTTGATGATCTATAGAAGGGAATCGCCATCTACACCTCTTGGTAAGGACAGTGAAGCTGTAAAATAGGGAGATAACGAGGGAACCTCTCTTCAGGATTCTGTGGGAGATTTGCAGAACACCATTCCTCTTGGTCCTTTTTCCTTCAGGGAAAGAACAAAATGCTTTGAAACCCAAACTGAATAACTGTACTTTAGATAGCACTGGGAGTTTGACGTCATTGTTTTCTAGTTTTTGCTTTTTTACTACTGACTGAAGTCTGTATATAGCTCTGCTATAAGAAGGCATCCGAAGAAGTGGGCTGTAGTCCACGAAAGCTTATGCTCTAATAAATTTGTTAGTCTCTAAGGTGCCACAAGTCCTCCTGTTCTTCTTTTTGCGGATACAGACTAACACGGCTGCTACTCTGAAACTTATAAGAAGGCTATTTCTCATAATAACCGTTTGCCTCTTCACTGAAACACTCAATAAATTCTGCCTCTTAATGCGACCCTCGCTGTAACACACAACACATTGCCCTTAAGTTAGGGTGACCAGATGTCCCGATTTTATAGGGACAGTCCCGATTTTGGGGTCTTTTTCTTATATAGGATCCTATTACCCCCCACCCCCTGTCCTGATTTTTCACACTTACTGTCTGGTCACCCTACCTTAAGTACAGATTTATGGGAAAGAGCAGTGCATCATGATTTGTTATAGAAGAAATACTAAAATGCAGTATCACTTCCCCTCCCCCTCTACCCTCTCCTCCCCCCCCTCCCCCGCCTTATCTTTTCCTTATCTTTACTGCAGCCATTCTTTTCTTTCAGGGACATTCATACCACCACAGGGAAAATCAAAAGAGCTGTATTACAGTTCACTCCAGCTAGCTGGACCTATGTTCGCTGGTTTGACCCCAAGTCTTCATTTCAAAGAGTGGCTGGAATATACCTTTTCATGATCATCTGGCAGGTAAGAAATAACTTTTGTGAAATCAAAACTAGTATCAGCTCAGTTTACTTACTGGCTGAGTTTGGTTAGAAGATATTATATTCTTATCTTAGTCCATCATTGAAATGTATAATTAAATGAACTGATACCACAAACTATTCTGGACACTATCCAATGCATCTGGACTACAGTTTAGGAGTGAAATTACAGTATCTGTGAAAGAAACAAATGGCTGCAGATTGATGTACTGGCTGTGGGGTTACTGTATGCAAAGGATAGTTATAAGAATTGAAGAAACAAATGGGTAGGTTTTTCCCAGCTGATGGTGCATGCACCAGTATGATATTCTGAATTCAGTCCCCAGTTCACCAAGGTGCTTCAACATATGCCTAACTTTAAGTGCATATGACTTTAATGGGAATATTCATGTGCCTAAAATTAGGCACTTGCTGAAATACTTTACAGCATTTGTGATGGTACCCAGGGATATGCTCTCTTTTTTAGGACTCTAATCCCATTGCCCTTAATCTCTGTTCAGTCAGGCAACATTTAATACAAGTGGCAGTTTTGCTTAAGTGAAGCCCATAATAGCCCTTAATGACATAGCCTTTAGTGATGACCCTGTTTTCTGGGCACTTATGTGCTACTGCTATCTGCCTCTCATTCAGTTGTGTGGTCTGTAATCTGCCTGAGTTGGCAGGCACTACCTCATACAACTCTGTTAAACTGGTACATTTGCCCTAAAAGCTCAGGAACCACTGGTTTAATTTAAACCATTCTTGATCAGAAGGAGATACAGCAAGAGAGCACTGCATTACTGAGCGACTGCAAACTATTTACAGTCATTGGTGTCTGGCCCCAGTCATATTGCTGCCGCCAAAGGCTTTTACGTTAATGCAAAAAGAAGGGAACTAATGCAGTGAATGTAAAGGGGGGGAGAGAGGTAGAAGAAATTCTTTCCCCATAAAAATTAAGCTAATTTCTAAAATGTCGACAGAGATGTTTGAATATTATCATTCTAGCATCGTAGAAAATTCACCCCCAAGATAGCATGTAATTTACTTACTTACAATTTTGCTAATTGGAACAGACTTCCTTTGTGAGAGATGTGTCTTGTTTTGAGATGAGGCCCACTGGGACACCAGTCCTACAATTCTTACTCCAAAAATACTTCAGTACAATATAGTGTAGGACACACTATCTAAAATAAAAAATGATCACATTGGGCAGTCACATCCTCACTTGATTTTCTACTGTGAGAATTCTTAAGGGGTTAAAAATTTCAGTAAAATTAAACCTGAGTACCTGTTTCAAGGGAGCAGGTGGTTTATTACAGCTGTTTGGAGCTGCCACCTCCAATTCCAGATTTTCATATTCAATTTTAGCTGTTTTTTTAAAAGTGATGGACTAGTTTGATCATTTGTGGTTTTGTTGGGGTGAGTGCATAAATATGCTGGTACTAAATTATGAACATGTTTGTGCATATTTCAGCCACTTGCCCATAATTTATACTAACTTTAGGTCTTTTTAAGGGATTTAATTTAAAAAAACAACTTTTTAAACTAAACAGGTGTAAATGGGGAACTCTTTTTAAAAAGAAAAAACTCAGCTGGATTTGGTTTGTAAAGAGTCCAGTGAGCTCTGAATTTTACAGACTTGAACACTTTCTCTTCTTTCTAAATTTGTGTCCTAGCACTGGTTCAAGAATTACGCTGTTATTCTAAAATGGAACTCTACAAACTACTAACTGAAACCTTGATGGGTTCTGAAGTATACAAAGTAGTTCAGCACTGTTTTGTTGTTGTTGTTGTTTTTGGTGGGGGTGGTGGTGGTTATTTTTATTAATTTTATTTTTTGGTTTGTTGACTTGGTATACAACTTTGCCTGTTCTGAAGATGATATTTTAAGAGCTTTTAGTTCTTAGTCCAACCAGCAGAGCTAGTTACTGAGCTGCAGTAAACCATAAATAATTCCCTCTTGTGTATTTTAATTATGATATTAATCCTAACATTTTCTGTATCAGTCTCTGAGAAGGGGTTACATGTGCATGTGTCTGTTCAATAGACCCTTATTAACTGATTTTTTTATTTCCAGCTGACTGAGTTGAACACATTCTTTTTGAAACATATCTTTGTATTCCAAGCAAGTCACCCTTTAAGCTGGGGTAGAATTCTCTTCATTGGAATTATCACAGCACCCACTGTAAGGTAACTTATTTTATTTTTTCTAATTGTACAGTAGTTCTGATCCTTAGGAACACAAGAAAAGGTGTGCAGGCTTTATAAATAAGTACAGTATGTGAAAAGAAATAATGAATTTAAGTCTCCAAAAAGGGGAAAATTATCATTATTTTTCAGTACTAGGTATAAGACTAAGGATAAAATTCAGCAGTCTGGGTGTATGCTACTAATGGTGAGACTTGTGTGAAAATCTGCATTTGATAAGAATCCATCATTCTCTCTTCTGATTGCACAGCAGTTGCCTGTGTTGTGTGGATTAACTCCATATACAGCCATCCATAATTTCATGTAAGGTTCTTTTGTTGACAAGAGCCATATGATCATGACAGCATGCAGGTTAGGGAATTTTACACCTGTGGGTCTTTCCATGATACCTGCCTCTAGCTACTTATTTATGCTTGAGTATAGAATATACCACAATGTGTTTATAAGGAAAGGTGATAGTTTCTTGTTTTGAATAATTAGTGAAGCTACAAAATATGAACCATGATTGGGATTTGAGAACTAATCAATCCGTAGTCACCTCACAAAATTATTTCATGAAGTAATTTTGTGTAGCAACCAGCTTCTGTTTACATCCAAATTGAAAAGTCGAGATTCCAGCTAATGAAGCATATATTGTACTTGAGGTTGTTTTTGGGTGGGGTTCTGGTAAATATATATTTTAATATGTATGTGCAAATTGTTTGCATAGGAACTGTAACTTTTCAATATTGTGTGTTCTGTCTCTCTTAGGTACTTATATGGACCCCATTACCATAGTATCTGAGCGCCTAACGGTCTTTAGTGTATTTATCCTCATAACAGTCTTGTGAGTAGGGAAGTGCTATTATCCTCCTTTTACTGATGGGGAACAGAAGCACAGAGAAACAAAGGGTATGTCTACACTGCCCAAAAGCCCATGGCATCGAGTCTCAGAGCCCGGGTCAACTGACTTGGTCTTGTGGGGCTCCTGCAAGTGGGTTAAAAATAGCAGTGTAGACGTTCCTGCTTGGGCTGGAGCATACGATAAGTGACTTGCCCAAAGTCACACAGGAAGCCTGTAGCAAAGCAGGGAATTGAATCTAGGTCTCCAGAGTCGCAGCTTAGCACCCCGAACCACTGGACCATTCTTCCCCGTTATGCTTCCTCTGTTTAAATTCTTCACCCTGACGTTACAGCAACGTAAGACTTTTGAATTTAATTTCCTCTGTATTTGTGAAAGGATAAAAAGAAGACAATTCTGCTATCATGTGTCCCACTATGCTGGGAAATGGCATTTTTCCTAATAATCATATCATAAGTATTGCTCTACCTTCCATTCACATTAATTAGCCGTTAATCTGTTACTCTCAAAATACAATCACTGTCACAAGTAGTATTCTTTATTGGCAGTCTCTGTAGAAAAAACATGAATTGAACGGCTTGGAAACTGAATTATCCCCCACCCCGAGCAGTGATCTCTCCAGGTCAATGCTGATACAGGTTGGCAGATTATGAAAAACCTTGCATTGTGCTGCTGCCTGTGCTGTGTGTGTTCTGTGAATGGAGGATAACAGTCACCAGAGCTGTCAGTATAATCATGTAAACTCTGTTCCATTCCCACTTAGACGCAGTGTCAGAATGGGAGCCTTTCAGAGTAATGTCAAAACAGGAAAGAGGCATATTTTAAAATGATGAATCTAATTTTTAAACAGATCCTTGGTTTCCTTAGACTGTTTTTTCCCCAGGACTAACCCTCTACTGACACACTTTACCTCCCAAGCCGTACATGTGCACTCAGGAACTAGAATAACTTAAAATGAAAAGTAACTTCAAAGTTTAGAGCATAGATAATTTTTTTAATCAAATTTGCTCTTCCAAGACTTGTTAGCCTCTGGTTGATTTTTTTTTTTCCCCCATCTGATGATTCGTCCTACTAAAACTGAAGCCATCTAGTAGGCTTTCATCATAATTTAACTTAACGCATGATATAAGCCCTAAGTGCTCCACTTTTGATATAGGGAATATTAATGTTAATCATTTTTTAAAAATGTAAATGTATTTCAGAAGCTTTGTGCTTCATTAAAGAATTTTCATTTGTTGTTTTTGTTTCCAGGCAATATTACGCCTACCTCACAGACACACAGTGCAAAAGGGTAGGAACTCAGTGCTGGGTGTTCGGGTAAGTGTTCTTGACTATTGGAATTTTTACAAACATGAGGCTGTGTTCTGTTTTTGTTGTTTTAAGTGTTGGCAGTGCGCTCAGTGCGGTGCCAGGTGTGATATGAAGCCAGTCCTTGCCCCAAATTGTTTTCAATCTAAAAGACAGGCACAGAAAAGGTTCCTTGGGAGAAGCCTACGGGAGAAGAAAATCTTAGATTTGTGGGGTGGAAAGGATGGAGAAGGGAAGGGAGAGTTATAGGTGCAGCTGGTTAAAGAAAGAAATATGAGTTAGGGCATCTGCATTCTGTTCCCCACTTAGTTGGTGGTGCATTTGGTGGCTTAGCAAATAGCTTACCTCTGATGCATCCATTTTAACTGTGCAGATTGCTTGCCTAGCAGGGATATTGTGAAGCATAATTAAGTAGGGCTAAATTCTGCCTTCAGGTATGAGGGCGCAACGCCTTCTGTTTTCAGTGATTATTGGCTTTACGAGAGTTGAATTTTAGGCTCTTAATACATAATAACTTTTCATTGTAGTAGCACCTAGGAGCCCAGGTCATGGACCAGGATCCCATGGTGCTGGGCACTATACAAATTTTTATTAAGCACACTTTGTAAATTATTTCACCATTGTCCGCAGATAGATGGCATATAGCAGATTTTATTTTTAGATCAATATAAAAATCCAGTCACGCTCATTTGTATTAGTCTTCATTTATTAGTTACTTGGCTTCTGGAACAGTGGCTTAATAAAATTTTAAATTACAAAATCCTCTTCATATCATAGAAGTTAGAGATGGTACAGACCTTTTTGCTAACCAGAACTTCCAATCTGGGCTAGTGGACTCCCCCCGCTGGATTATAGAGCTATCCACTAAAAACGTTCTTTGACACTGCAGGAAGCCTTCTTTTGGATCACAAGGGAACTCTCTAGTAAAGTGCTTCAACAGATGCTAAAAAATAACAGTACTGATCCTGTTTTCAACACCAAGGGCCACATTAGTCCAGGCCCTGTGCAAAGATTTTAGTGTTTCTACTTGCATCCACTTCCTAATTCGCTTGCAGTGACTGCCACTAATGAGAGAATGTGACAGAGCAGATATAAGTGAATGTCTAAAAGAGGCCAAGAGATTGGATTAAATGGGGGAGAAATTTATTCTATGTCTTCCTTACATATGCACATTGCTAATCAGCAGGTGCTTTTATCTAAATACGACTTTGTGAATTGGGACACAATGTCCAGATTTATAGACGAGTTGCCTGAGGATGCTGTGGAAGAGTTTAAGGCTTTTCTGGCAGAGAGCCCACTAGTGTCTAAGACATCACTGCAATCAGCACTCGGTATGGCGGACACCTCATATAGGATTATGGCTTCAACTGTAACAATGAGGAGAGCTTCTTGGCTACAGACTTGGCTATGTCTTTGTTTTCTAAAAAGACTGATGAGACATTACATTCTTTTAAGGACTCCAGGGCCATTTTATGATCCTTTGGGGTTTATACCTCAACAGTTAAGACATCATTATGGGGATCTACAACAACAACAATTCCAATAGTACTCCCAACAGTATTTCAGGCAGCCTGCTTATTCTGAAAGACAACAGGACTTCTCCAAGAGGAGACACACATGTTGCACAGGAGAAGGCCCTCTTTTTTCCATCTTCAGCCAGCCAGCCCATAGTCCATCAACTAATGGCAAGCAGCCAATTTGACCCTCCCTTCAAGGGCAACAAACCAGTCACCGGTCAAGGCTATTTCCCCTCCATTTGGGGACATGTTGTCCCACTTCCATAGAGCTTGGGATTCAATAACCTCAGACAAGTGGATCCTAAACACAGTGCAATTGGGTTATACCATCCAATTTCTATCTGTTCCTTCTTCCCATGGCTGGAATCACGACTGGTTTGCTGCTCTTAGTCTCCAAGATGCCTGTTCCCATTTGCTGATTTTCCCAAGCCACAGGAAGTTTGAGATTCCTAGTTGCAGGTCAGCATTAATAGTATACAGTTCTCCGCTTTGTCTTGACATCAGTCCCATCCATATTTACCAAATGCATGTCGGTGATAGCAGTCTATCTACAGAGGAGGGGAACTCATCTCTTCCCATACCTAGATGATTGGTTAGTGAGGGGCAGATCTGAAGAATCAGTCCTCAATTACACTCGATCTCTTTGATTGACTAGCATTGATTTTGAACAAAACAAAATCAGAAGACTATCAAAAAAAAAGTCAAAGCAAAACAGAAAATCAAGTTAATTATTGCCATCCTAGGCTCTGAGTTCAAGGACCTATCTCCCGCATGAGCGATTCTAGGCAATATGATGCCTGTGTCAGGACTTCCAATCTCAGTCTTCAACCACAGTCCATGTATATCTGAAGTTACTAGGCCATATGCATTTACCTAGTCCAGAATGCAAGATTGCATCTTGTTCTCTTCAATCATGGTTGAAGTTGGTCTATCACTCAAGTTGTCAGTCATTGGACGGGCTTGTCCAAATGCCTGGACTCTCTACAGTGTTGGACAGAACAGATCAATAATATGCTAGGGTATACCCTTTGCTTGTTCTCCACTGACCAGGACTGTAGTCACTTATGCCTCCATAATAGGTTGGAGAGCACATCTAGGAATATTGATAATTCAGGGTTTGTGGTCGGAACAGGAAGCATCCTTTCATATCAACGTCCTGGAGTTTCGAGCCATTTACGGTGCGTGTCGATCCTTTTGGTATCAGATCAGGGCAGTGGTTCATATAGTTACAACAATGTAATGGAGCAGGGAGGAACCCACTCCAACCAACTTTGTCAGGAAGCAATAAAGTTTTGGCACTTTTGCATCAAGGAAGACATACCCACAGCTGCACAGTTACCAGGTGCTCAGAACTGGCTGGCTGATCAACTCAGCTGGAGTTTCTTCCAAAGTCATGAGTGGCTCTGAAGGACAGTATGCTGAGGTCCATTTCCAAAGACTGGGGCATTCCGATGATCGACTTGTTTGCAACGAAAGACAACAAAAAATGTAGTTGATATTTTGCTTGCACATGGGTCTCAGTTTGGGCTCGTTAACTGACACCTTCTATTTGAATTCTATTGATGTATGCATTCCCCCCCCCAATCCCACTCATTCCTCAGGTGCTTCTCAAACTAAAGTTGGATCATGCCAAGGTGATACTCATTGCACCAGCTTGGCCAAGACAACGTTGGTTTTCCGACCTTCACAGTCCATCTATTTGACCTCCTAGCTCTCTTCCCCTCATTCCTGACCTGTCAGTGCAACGCCACAGCCAGGTATGGCATCCAGCAGTCTGCATCTAATGGCGTGGATGCTGCATGGTTAGACTAGAAAGAAGAATAATGTTTGCAAGCAGTGCAGTGAGTTCTATTTAATAGAAAACTTTCTACTAGATATATCTGTTTGGCGAGGTGGAAGCATTTTTTGGTTTGGTCTTTGACTCAGGGAATTCAGCCAATGCTAGCACGTATTCAAGACATTTTGGATTACCTGTTGCATCTTAAGTCCTCAGGTCTCTCTCAGCTCATTGAGGGTCTACCTGGTGCGATCTCAGCACACTGCCATTAGGGTCCTCTATTTGAGGTCCTAGCCACTTGCTCTCTGTCTTTTCTTTGCCAAAAGACAGCTTTTTTTATTGTCCTAACTTCTGTGAGATTTAGTGAGCTTGTAGGCCTTAATGGTGGACTCTCCCTATATTCAGTTTTTCAAAAACAAGGTGGCCTTGAGGCCACACCTTAAGTTCTTGTCTAAAGTGGGGCATTTAGATCAGAACCAAACTTTGGAAGAGCATTTCTGCTGTCATTATTTAAGCAGATTCTGAGCCCCACCTCCGTCGTTTTCTGCTTATGAGTCACCTGAGTAGAATACACCTTTTCAAACAGTTGAAGAAGAAAAAAAGTCACCTACCTCTTCTTCAATTGTTGTTCTTCTAGATGTGGGTGCAGATGTGTATTCCACAACCCAGCTTCTGTCCCCTCTGCACTGAAGTCTCAACTATTGATGTTCAGTGCGACGGAGGGGGGTCGAGGCAGCACTGCCTTTAAATAGCTATGAGAGAGGCTATGGGGCCAGAGGGCACAAACACCACCCCAATGGGCAATGTAAAGCAAAATTCTCTGATTTCAGTGCAGTGGGCACATGCACACCAAGTGGAATATATGTCTGTACCCACGTTTTGCAGAACGACAGTAGGTAGGTAACTGTTTTATTCCCATTGATCTTGGAGTAGTAGGGCAACCACCTTTAGTAGTAAAATTTCCTTATTTTTTGATTTACTGTTTCCTCACTTGTATACGCCACTTCTTTAGACAATCCAGTTATCCCAAATGTTCTTTTCTACAATAGTTGAAGTTTAACATGTTAAAAGTAATACAAGTGATGGCAATGAAAGACGTTAAGTAGAAAAAACATTTTTTTTTAAAGTTATATCTCTTTAGAGTCTTATCCTGCTTTTTTCTTTCTTTCTTATTTTCATTTTTGAGATATGGAAAGGATTGTTTTAAAATGGACAGTTCTGGAAAGCAAAATGTCTGTCACTGCCTGGGTAAGATCCATATTGTAGGAGTCTGGCCTCTGACAATGTAGCAGCACAGCTGGCAAAAATCATAGAAACCTGTCCTCTAAAGCTGGGAGAGGATTACAGTCTGCAGAAAGCCTTTAAGGACTTGCTGTTTTCTCAGTCGATCATAGAAACATTATAGAAGGTGAAGGGAACAAATCTGTCTTAAAACATTTGTCCTTTTTTTGAAAGGAACATTCTGTCCTCTTGAAGTTGCAGACATCAGTGCTGTTCATGTAAGCAAGGCTTGCTCGTGTAGATATTGTCCCATCAGGGCTGATACATGCTGAGGTATGCTTTTACTCCTGCTTCTTGCTTTTGGCAAATATAGCCAACCAAGGTGAATCAGTTGGCACTGAGGTTTTAGGGGACATCCATTTCACGCCCATTTGCTGAATCTCAAGAGATTCCATTATAACAACCAGTGAACATTCAGATTCAGTTGTCTGCTT